ACTTTTGATTGTAACGTAAGTAATCAAAGAAAATCGAATGCAGTTATATATTATGTATATTCTAAGAACAACAAGAAAGTTTGTTTCCATGCAGTGAACTAAGTACTAAAAAAGTAGTTCAAGAATTTGATAGTAATAGAAAGTAATTAACATGGTTCTTTTTTCGAGTATTTTTTTCATATGATTAGTCTTAAATTAATTGTAATTACATTTCAGTACTAAACCGGCTCTAGTTAGAGAAACATGATTTAAAAGCAAGCAATTTCTGCTATACTTCACGAACCAGATGAAGCAAATCCCTAGCGCTGCACTTTCTTAATAGGTATAACGAAGTGTGTCTAGCTAGCACATACCATGTCCAAGCTAAAACAAAAGCGAACGAAATTAAAAATCAAATTACGAATGGCAGAAGGAAGAAGAATGAGCATCAATCTCGCATTGAAACGTCAATCATGTCTCATTGATTTATGAATCAACCAAAGCTGATCCGTTGACAATTGTGCTGAAGCGAAAATGAGCACATGAATGAAAATGAAAATGAAAGAAAAACAAAAAAAAAAAAAAAAAAAAAAAAAAAAAAAAAAAAAAAAAAAAAAAAAAAAAAAAAAAAAAAAAAAAAAAACTAACACTATATGAACATCCTTTTGTTTGTAGATTATTGGGGGAATGCATAAAAGTGACTATAAAAGCAAGTCATGAAAGCAAAGAGTAAGTAACGTGAAGGAATAAGTGCCAGCTTTGCCAATTGCATTTCTTTTGGAATAATCTTGCATTTAATTAAAATTTTCGCATTCTACAACAATCTCTGCACGCATGCATCTTATGAGTATGCAAATACAGCTTTTTATAATACTAATAATTAAAAGATGCGTATTAGCAACAATGAACTGCATTATCAATTGAATACTGTAATTAAAAGGACTTAACGGTAATAAACGCAATTTATTCAATTAAGCCTCTTATGTTAACAATTGTAGACCATCGTAAAGATTCGCTTACTATCATTTAGTACTCAATGACTACTCAACTCAAAAGTCTACATTGTCACTGACAGTATAAGTTATTGGCTAATTACTCTGTATAAATGGCAAAACCAGATTATAAGAGCTTATGATGCTAGTATGAAAACCACAACCTGAACACAGCAAGTGAAAGGAAACGAAAGCTTAACATGCATGTAAATATTCCTATTGGTTAAGTACGCCATAAAAACAATTGCCACGATGATAATATCTATACCTTTGAACATAATATGTAATAACATAAAAGATAAATGAATAAAATAATAAACAAATAAACTAAAATAAGATATAAGTAGAAATATATTAAATCTACTAACTTCTTTGAAGGAAAAAATGTCGACTCATATTCTAAGAAGTTTCTGGGGTATTTGAGGTGTCTGATTAGGAATTTGAGTTCACAAATTTTCCTTCTCGAACAACTGTTTTTCTCATAAGTTCCGCCTCGAGGTCCAATTTTCGAACTCTTCTTGCAGCTATTAGGGCCTATGTTCTCTTTCAAGGTGTCAGCCGTCACATAACCCCACAAAAAATAGTTCAGTAGTGTAACCACACGATCCTTGAGGCTACGCCATAATCCCACGACGCGAGATAATAAAATGTTTCCTTCAATAAATTGATTTCTTCTTTGTACGGTACGTAGCGCCGTTTGGTGGGGCCAAGGGTCGCCAACATCAATATCCTCCAATTCAAATGCTATATTTTATGGTATTTTTTTCATGTAAAATATTGTTTTGCACCATAACTAAAATATTGTTATACTATATAACAGGTTTTACAAATTTTCTAAATTTCTTTAATATCTCAGAACTAAGCTTGATTTTAAGATTTGTGCTGAGATTTTGCCAACTCTTTCGTAAACATTGTGAAACTCTCTTCTTCTCTTAACAACGTTTTTAGTACCATTTTCTAATAGCTACTGTAATAAATGCAACTGTATTAAAAAGCAAAAAAACAACAACAACAACTTTATGGCTTTTTAAACGAGACAGTTTAATTGCACGCATACAAGGTGATAATTGCCGGCATATTTCATGAGCTACTCAAAGTACGTCTGAAAGCAAATACTATCAGACAAATTAAAATATTACTGAAATAAATAAGTGCAGTAGACGCCACCGGTTCTAGTTTTGAATTTACAATTGATTTACATTGCAACTGCTAGATATTTGTGCACAAATATGTATTTACTAGATTTAGGTATTTTTTTCCAATATGAACCGTTGCGTCACATACCTGGTTCTTAACTGCTGCTGCATTTAAGCGAGAACAGTTAGTAATTCAGTTGAGATAATAAGGCATTTGTTATGCTAAGTGTGTGCCGTTACTATTAAGCTTGACAATAATTTATGTGAACAATTAAGGACCGTGATCTTCGTAACAAACCATAATGTCTTGATCCCGTAAATTTTAAGCATAGCGCATATTAAAGTGCGAAATGAAGTACAACTGCACTTAAGGCCATAATTTTATATTTTTGTACACTGACCAGGGTACATATATTAAGATTGCTACGAAATTGTAACACTGAGAAGGAAATGTTGAAGACTCAGTATATACAGTATACGTATATATAAATGATCAGCATGTTGAGCTGAGTTGATATAGATTTTGTCCGGAAAGTAATAGGACTGAGTCGATTTAAATAAATTTATTGAACCATTCGTTTCAATTCTTTCAAAACTTTCACAATAGGCTCCTTTTGCGTCGATGTAAGGCTGTCAGCTCGATTTCCAATGAAATGCTGCTCTTGAGCCTCTCGGAAGATTACGTCTTCGCCTTGGTATTATACTCAAAGATTCATTCCTCGTCAATTGTGATTACGTTATTCAAAATTATCACATTCACAAATGTTAAAATTTTCTTAGCACACTTCAACTCGCCGCAAAATCGGAGGTCCCCACAATATGATACACTGGAAAAGGTATCGACAGTGAGGCCGCAGTGTTTGTTGAAATAGGAATAGGCATCCTAAACAATGAACACTCGTCTTGAACTTAGCAAGTGAACTTCATCCGGCATCGCAAAAGACCAAACTGGTCTATGCATGGCTTACCAGATTAACCAAAATTAACCTAACCTAATAAAAATAGTTCGAGCTGCAGAACTAAATAGAGAAGGTATCATCTTCATTATAAGAGTATGCCGATGATATTAATTTCATCAGCACAAACACCCGCGCCGTTAGTTCTGCTTTCTCCAGACTGGACAAGGAAGCAACACAAATGGGTCTGGGAGTGAACGAGGGCAAGACGAAATATCTCCTGTCATCAAACAAACAGTCGTCGCACTCGCGACTTGGCACTCACGACACTGATGATAGTCATAGCTTGGAAGTTGTAGATAATTTCGTCTATCTTGGAACCCTGGGAATCCAACGCAGGATAACTCTTGCCAACAGGGGCTACTTCGGACTGAGTAAGCAATTGAGAAACAAAGTCCTCTCTCGACAAACAAAAACCAAACTCTATAAGTCACTCATAATTCCCGTCCTGCTATATGGTGCAGAGGCTTGGGCGATGTCAACAACTGATGAGTCGACATTGCTAGTTTTCGAGAGAAAAGTTCTGCGAAAGATTTATGGTCCTTTGAGCGTTAGCCACGGCGAATATCGCATTCGATGGAACGATGAGCTGTGCGAGATATACGACGATATTGACATAGTTCAGCGAATTAAAAGACAACGGCTACGCTGGCTAGGTCATGTTGTTCGGATGGACGAAAACACTCCGGCTCTAATAGTATTCGACGCAGTACCCGCCGGGGGAAGCAGAGGAAGAGGAAGACCACCACTCCGTTGGAAGGAACAGGTGGAGAAGGACCTGGCGTCACTTGGTATATCTAATTGGCGCCATGTAGCGAAAAGAAGAAACGACTGGCGCGCTGTTGTAAACTCGGCTATAATCGCATAAGCGGTGATTACGCCAATTAAGAAGAAGAATAAAAAGTATTGCAACATGTTTGTATTCTTCGAGTATAAGGTAAATTACTAATTTATCCATCGTCACTTTCACTAATAAACACTAGACATAACTATGTAAATGAAATATAAACAGTGCATTATTTACTCAATGCTAAGGGCATAGCGAAGCGAATGAAAACAACTTTAGTATGTGTTGGCGCTGAGGAAACTCTGAAAGGCTTTTACGATAAGCTACTTTATAATACAAATACGAACTACGGTCTAGTGGTGGCCGGTTTCTTATTTATAATAGTCTGTTATAAACAATTTAATAATAATATTATTAAAGTCACACTCTATATTGTTCACTGAAGAAATCAACTTTTAAGTAAAAATTTTTTCCAAATTCCTCTCCTTTTACTACTCATATACAACATTCAACAAAATACACAGAAATCATTTTTTTATACGAAAAAAGTGGGAGGTCAAGGGTTAATAACACTTTTTAGTCATTCGTATCAAAATAGCCGATTCGTATATACATATTTGTTCTCAAATAGTAAACAAAGAGCCCGGCAGTGTGCCGCATGCGCCTTTCAACCGCACAATTTGCGCAATCGTTTCAGGTAACTACAAATGTCGTGCATAATTTAATTTATACGTGTTGTAATACTATATATTGCACTTTAATTTAATAAATATAAGCGGGTAAGAATTTTTAGCGACAGTTCTCGGCGTACCGCGTTAAGGCGCTCAGATTTCTATCGCGTTAAATAGAAACTAAAACGAGCGGCTTCAAATTTTCAAAGTGAGAGTGAGTGGAGAATTTTCAAAGGAAACAAAGGATAAACTGTATATATTTAAGGATATTAAGTTTAACTATATGAAAAAAAAATAATAATAATTTAATGTATTGACACATTTTTAAAAAATGGAAATATTTGCGAGCAAATATCAATAAGAATTTGAAACCCTAAAAAAACTATGAAGAAATAAACACAAGGTGGTTTATTCTGCAAAAAAAAAAAAAAAAAAAAAAAAAAAAAAAAAAATTGGTTGTGTTTAAGCGATTTCGGGTAGTGTGTGAAAATTAGTAAGACTTTGTGAATAACTTATATAACAAAATTAAGTGAAGTTAGTAAGAAGCGGTTTCGAAAGGACTTTTCAACTTGTCCTAAGCAATAATTATATAACTGAATTACGAATATCTCTGAATTAATTAAAATAAATTAACAGAAAATAAAATAGTCATCATGTTGAAAGTGAAGCTGTATCATGTTCTGGTATTGTTCACACTACTTTGTTGCGTAGTTAGCACAGCGAAAATGGTGGCTCCCAACAGCGACCAGTACCAACTAATGCAGCGTACGTCAATACTCTTCGGCTTAACAGTGATTAGTCGTCCGGATATGGTGAGCCAAAACTGTTATACACAACTGCAGGAGGTACAAAAGGCTATGCTTATGCAACAACCTTGGGCTATGAAGAGTAAGTGCTTCTTTTCAAAATTATTGAGATAGATTAGGGTATATGATGCTCAATGGAACTATACTATATATTTTTGTCTTCTTACTTTTCTTGAACTCTACAGTAGAGTTAAGAGCCCTTGGTAAAGTCGTTGAAAAATGCCCGCAGGGCAAGATAGAAAAAAATTGCGATTGCCTCAAAAAATCAAACAATTATGACGAAGTAAGTAAATAGATGCTTATTCGTAGAAAAAATTAATGTCTTCACTTAGCAAAATATCATTTCATGACAACAATGCGTGTTCTGTTGGGTTTAAGGAGGGAGCCTGCTTTAGATGCTTCAAAAAATCGATTTTTTTTGTTTTGCTTAAATCTCTTTAAAAATTATCTAAGAATAGTTATAAATGGGAATCCGAAATATTGTCGCAGCTAAAAGGGATATAAAGTAAATTTTTTTTGGTTAAAAACCATTTTTTTTAATTTTTTTAAAAAATTATAGAATTTTACACTTTTTTTTGGAATTTTTTTTTTTAATTTAACTAGAAGATAAGTTATTAACAAATATGAATTTTTTGCTTCCGATATAAATTGCGACCTGCATCCTGCCGCCGTTCGACAAATGGCCAAGCGAGATACATCGGGCAATTGCTTCTCAAAGACAGAATATCAAAGATTTCGTATCCAAAAAATGATTCGGATAATAGTTAAATATATAGCATAACTAGAAACCCCCACAAATTTTGCTTTAATCAATTATTTCGTTCCCTCCCAAAAAAATTTAAAAAAAAGTAGATTTTTGAAAGCCTCTAAAGTCGGCTCCCCTCTTAAAGGATTTTTTCAACCTTTTTTTCTCATATAAAATAAGAAACAATTTATTAGAATTTTTTGTTATGTTACATACATACACTTCAATAAAAAAAATTCAGATATTTTGGAAAAAAATATTTTAAGCCCGGCCATTGCGACGCCATTTCCGGTGACCACTCGGAAAAAAGATGCGCTCAGGATAACTTTTTACAGAGTCATCAAAAGTGAATAATAAAAAATCGTTTTTAGTTAAAAACTTAACTTAGAAATTGGACGCAGGAAAAAATAACTGATTTAAGAGAAATTTTTGTAATTTATTATTATTATTTTTTTTTTTCAACTAATTGTAATCGAGAAAAAATCCTTCACTCAAGTCTTTAAGAATTGCATCTCAAAGACCTATGTAAAATTTCAGGAAAATCGGTGAACTATGTTTTTGAAATCGGTTGGCAAGAAATCTACAGAAGTTTCTTGCCAACCGATTTCAAAAACATAGTTTCGAGAAAAACGCGTTTAAAGACGGCACACTTAGCCCGCACAAGTTCTCAAGGCTGCAGCTCCGAAACTGTTACTCGGATCAACATGAAAATATATGACAATATTCTAGAGGTATTGTAGAATTCAATAAGTTAATAAAAAAAAAATAGATTTTTTGAAATCCATAAACCCATGTGGCCCCAAAGCAAAAACTATTTTTTTTAACAACTCTCTTGTAAGAATTAACGCACAAATCAGCATTGCCAAATTTTCATCAACTCTTTTAGTATTCCTTGCAAGTACAATAATGGGCAGATACTAGAAGCTGCTAGCACATAGTAACCACAATAAGAGCTGCTCAATAAATTCTTAAAAGTAATAATTATAACCGAAACATTACCGCTCATATATGTACCAAGTTTAATTATATCTATTAACTAACGTTAACTCTCTACCAATCTTATGTGTTCCCCCTTCTTTACATAGTGTTCGATGCATCAGGCGTTCGAGAGCCTGGATTCACAATGGGCAACGGCATCTGGGTGGGTAGTCGTGACACATGTAATGCTGTTAAAACACCCGTTAATCTCAAACTATCTACACATGTACCACACAAAATGAATCCAAAAATATTGACAGATACAGCGCCATTTCCCACAGACTATCGTGTCGTGAATTTGTGGCACAACTCCACATGGCAAATGGATCCAGTGTATATCTACTATGAACCGCGCATTAGTATCGGTCTGTGTTTGCCAAGCGCATGTACAGTAGCTGAGATTAGTCAACTAATGGCCGCCTATGTGGAGGATGAGCTGTTTGTGTCGAATGATGTTTATGATATGCGCATGCGTGTTGAAGGCGTCAAGGATTTAAAATTACGTACTGGCTTCTATTCAAGACCTTCGTTGCTAGTTTTTATCGGCTGCTGGTTACTAACACTCCTGCTGACATTTCTAGCCTTGTGGCAACGTATGAAGCGTAATATCGAAACGGCTGAGGTGGTTGCAAATGGCACGAATTCTACGAACGATCATCTAAAAACGACGAGCCATAAGAGTACGCAATCGTTTTATAATAAGTTTATTGTCTGTTTTGATGTTCAAAACAACTGGGANTTTATTGTCTGTTTTGATGTTCAAAACAACTGGGAATTGCTTTTCCCAACGGGCACAACTGTTGGCACAGACGCTTTTCCGGCGGTGAATGGTTTACGGTTTTATGGTGCAATGGGCGTAATATTATTCCATATACTATGCGGCAGTTATCTGGGATCAGTTAATAAATCCGTGCATTACAAATTAACAAGTAGTTTTGGAAATTTTGACGTTTTTGTGGATCTGTTTTTCACAATAAGGTAAGAGCGATGCAATTTTGGGAATATCTTATTGCTTCGTATTCTAACTACCTTGCCCAGTACTCTAGATAGTATATTTTTTACTTCTCCAAGTGAACTTGTCATGTTTGTTTTACAAAACCTTTGGTTCTAAAAATTGTGTGGAATATTTCTGAGTTCAAGGAAAAGACCGCTCTGACTGCATAGAACCAGAATACAGAGCTGATATATGGCAATGTCATATGCAAAGACTGTGTGCTCCTTCTCCCAAAATGGGATTGCTATAAGTTTTAACTCATTCAAACAGTTATTACAGTATTCCAATACTAAGTTTAGTTGACCATTATTTGGATTACGTTTTTGAAAAAAAAAAAAGTGCGTTATTTATTAAAAGTATCAATGCCCGAAATCTTCCTAAACTGTGACAACTTATGTCGACATTTGTTTCAGCTGAATGACTTATTAAACCTCTTTTAACGGGGTTTTCAATAGGGACACTACAAAAGGAGATCCATAGGAACAGTAAACGGTCCCATTTTTTCTCGCTCTTTTGAAATTTCTCTTCAGTAAGGGTTGCCATTTCATCATGTAAAGATATTCGATCCAACAAGGAGTCGAAATTATTAAAATTTTCTACCAAAGTTCGAAGGCAGTGGCTTAAACTTTAAGAGCACTACCTCCAAGTCATCATAACTGTTTTGTCAGATCAACAAACATTCAATGTTCGTCCAATAGCAAAACTTGAAAACTATTCAGGTTTTGAAAGGAAAATCATCTTCAACGATGAGGCTTATTTCTAGCTAAATGGATTCATCTATAAGACAAAATCTGCGTTATTGGTCAGCCAGTAATACACGCGTACGAGCGTCGACCGTGGTGGGTTCAGCGCCAAGATTTCTGCAAACGTACTCGTGGTGGACATGCAAAAGAAATCGAGTTCCATACAGGAATCGAGAATTTTATTGATCTCCCGAACGTTTTTGATTTTATTTAAAATTTTGTAGCGTTCCTATTGAAAACCCGTTAAAATTACCATTTTTTAAATAAATATTTGTTTGCCTTGGTTTTATAATAAAATAAAATAAAATAAAATAAATTTTTAAAATTTTTTTACAGTGGCTTCCTGCAAACATACCACTTTTTCCGAGACACAAAAACTATTGAGATCATACGAAGCAGTGGTCTAATGAAGAATACAAAAGCGGTATTTATGTACATAATGCATCGTGTGATAAGGTAAGTACCGAAAGCTGCCAACGCTTAATAGTCTGAAAGAGTTATGCCCGACGTCATCATTACAATTTCGGATATTAATAAACACGCTGCCTGCATACTTCGCCAAACAGCATTTTACAACATTTATCATAACAGAAATGTCATGTGAACGAAATGAAAACCGAAATGTTAGTTCGCTCGCGAGCTTAGGGCGTGAGCATAGCTATTCGAAAACATATAAAGTAAGAAAGAAGCATTCTTATTTGTTTCGTCTTTTGCTCTACTTCAAACAGATTGGGTCCGTTGTACTTCCTTGTTATCTGCATGGCCGATGCTGGAGCGCTTTTTATGGACGATACATCGGTTTTCCACTTCAGCCATAAATTATATGCCAACTGCGAGTTGTATTGGTGGCGCAGTGTGCTCTTCATACAAAATCTCTTCAATCACGAAGATATGTGCGTGTTTTGGTCGTGGTCTTCAGCATGTGATATGCAATTTTATATTTTCAGTATAATTCTACTGTTCATCTATACAAAGTAAGTGCATATAGGCAATATATTAGTACTTTTAACTAATACAATATATCTAATTGAACATTTCACTTGCAGACACCCGAAAACCGGCAAAGCTCTCACTCTCGCCACTGTAATAGCAAATTTGGTTTACACTATCCATACAGCTATCACTATGAATTATAAGTTTTCATTTGAGACCACATCGGTGCTGTTCACAGAGCTCTATATGAACTCGTTGTCACGTGTGCTGGCCTACGTAATTGGCGGTTTAGCTGGCTGGTTTTTCGTACAGAACCAAAAAAGGCAACTGTATGCGAATTTCTTTCAAAATCAGTCGCTGCAGGAGTATCTCGGCTGTTCGGCGATCATTTGTTTCTTTACAATCAATTTTGCCAATATCTCAGAAGGTTACTCAGTGGGTTTCTATGTGGCAATGCTGATCGTTCAACGTGTGATATTTTCATCAAGTGTTTGTCTGCTGATATTCGCAAATGCGGCGGGTAGTGTGAAGTGGTTCTTTGGATTGTTGGAGAATCCATTCTTTAAGAAATTCAATCAAATTACTTATGCTATGTTCCTCTTAAATCCTCTACCTATGGCTTTGATGGTCAGCTTCAATAATGTTGGTCGTTATGCAAGTCCATATAGCTTAGTGAGTTCTAGTTTGGTTTGTTAAAATTGTTGTTTTTGACGTTTATACATTTGATATATTTTTAGGTTATCGAATACATTGGCATTTGCATGGTGCTGTATGCGTTCTGCGTAACTTTTGCCTTATTTTTCGAAGTGCCCTATAAGAATATATCTAAAATGTTGGTCCAGCGCACCAAACCCAAGACGAACTAAAGAAAGCTTACTAACGCGAACTGTGATGGAACTAAATCCATGAATGTAAATGCATTTATTGTAACAATGGATGCATTTTAAACAAATAATATTTTTATAATATATAGATAAGATAAATAAAAAAAACTTTGGTATACCATAGATTCATATTAGGTGTTTTATATTGAAGGCATTAAATTGCTTGGAGGGATAGCTGCCAAACCAGCCGTCAAGGCATATACACGTATTTCACTTTTCGAACCAAGTTTTTCGTATATTCTTTCATTCGAAACTATTGTATGACTCCACCAAATCGAGTAAAAATCTACATAGAGCACTAAATCATTATATAGTTTAGGCGGAACTTTTGTTCAGGCAATGATGTTAGGAAAGGAACTACTATACTAATACATCGGTTATCACTGACCAGTTGGGAAAAAAATTTGGAAAGCTTTTGACGCGATACGTCTTTAATGAAAAAGCTGGTACAAATGTGGATGACAGGGTTCTTATCAGTTGTAATCTACATGACCGAAATTTTGTTTAAACTTAGAAAAAAAAAAAAAATAATCTAACAATTTTTACTATTTTTTCCTCTTATGTGAAATTAAATTTGTACTCGCTGATACAATCTCGCCAAATTTAAGATGGAATATTTTATATCTCATAAACTAAGCAACTTACTTGAATCAAAATTTGAAACACAGATAGATGTTGTGTTTCTAGAACAGCTCCAAATCTCATTAATTCGTACCATAGCGACATATGTATGTTTGAGAACTTGACTTATATAATAAACATAATGTTTGACAACTCTATACCGGAAATATTGTTATGTATTATATTTATATAAAAATTTATTAAATCATATAGTGTAGTATCGAACTAAAATTACAGAAGTAGAGCTTTATGATCACTTCATTTAACAAGCAATAGCCATAAGCGTCGAATGAATTATTCCGCTAAATTATCCGTTACTATATATGGTATAATTCTGTTCTTGTTTGCAGCAGTTTCATATTTTTATATTGCTAGAATGAAACAGTTTATTTTCTAGCATCCGTGGAACAGCTGTTGAAGTCACAGTGTACTAGATGAAGAGCTTTATTGTTGGCATTTTAAGAAGAGATAGAGCCATTGTTTCCCAACTTTTATTAACTATATCTTTAATTGCCTTATACCTTATATCCATATCCGTTTTATACTATAATAGTAACATGTCTTTCTTCAACATGATCCTGTGCAATACCCTCGCGTTTTCATTATTTGAAGCAGATTTCTCAAATTAGAGTTTTTATTTCATTTTAAAATTACATCGTACTTGTTGGCTTTTTAGTTTAAGTTTAATCGGTTGAGATGTAAAAGGAAATATAGTAAAAAAGTATAATAATAACAAAACATGAAAATGGGTATATTAAAGAGAAGCACGGCAAGCAAAGCCTATTTTTAGACACTCCCTGTTTTAGTGCTTCGCTTTGATGACAAAGTATTGATTGCCAAGCAAAGCGAAGAAAGTTCTATGTATAATAATCAGTCATTAGTCACTCGTATTCTGAAAAGACGTTCCGTAGATGAGTATTTGTTTGCAAAAGTAAATAAAAACCCCGGCAGTGTGCCCCATGCGTAGCTCAGCAGCGGAGCAAAAGAAAACAATGCAAAATTTGTGAATAGTCTGAGTTCACTAAGCGGCGGATAATTAATTCGTATGTGCTAATAGGTAAGTTATTGCACTTTAAATTAATAAATATGAGCACATTCGAATTTTCTTTGACAGTTCGCGTAAAACGTTAAGGCGCTTCGATTTCAAAGCTTATAAGCGGGAAGCGAAATAGAAACGAAAACGGAAGGTTTCAAATTTCAAAGTGAGAGTGAGTTTAAAGGATGTTAAGGATACTAGGATACTACAACTATAGTTGAAGTGGGCTATAAAGTGAAATTGTAAAAACAAGCGGCACTTTTTTTTAGAAAATTGATGTATTTTAAAGAAAAATATCAGAAAAACCTGAAATAATAAAAAAGTTATTTTTTCCATCAAATGGAATCAGTTGTGCTCAAGTGACTTCGACAAGTGTGGGGAAATTGACAGTGAATACAACATTTTACAAAACGAGAAGAAAGAAAAATATTGTAATTGTCAAAACGAAAAAAAATCAAGTAGACTTTTCGGTAAGTCTTAAGATAACATAATCGAATAAAAATACTTTTGTATTAATTAAAAAAAATTTAAATAAAATAGTCAACATGTTAAAAGTGAAGCTTTATCAAGTGCTGGTGTTATTTACATTACTTTGTTGCGTAGTTAGCACAACAAAAAAAGTGAGTTCTAATAGTGAAAAATATGAAATTATGCAGCGTTCGTCAATACTCTTTGGCCTAACAGTGATAAGTCGTCCGAATATGGTGAGCCACAACTGTTATTCACAACTGCAGGAGGTTCAACAGGCTATGCTAATGCAACAGCCTTGGGCTATGAAGAGTAAGTGCACTTAAAAGAAGAAGAAAAATATATATTTTTTTTTTATTGTCGAAGTGCTTCCTTTCATGGGAAAGATTACACAATATATTCGCTCTACGAAACCAGATATACTAGGATAGTAGAAAAAAAAGTGATATAAGAGTTATCACCCTATTAGAAGTGTTTGTGGTGCTTCATCTTACTATCCTTGAATTCTAAAATCAGAAATTATTTATTGCATGGTAGGTATGAGAATGAGAGAGTTAAATATTTGATTCATGAAACTTTTAATATTGTGGGGGATTTAGATTTTGATTTTGCTGCTTTATGCTTTCACTAAAGCTACAATTCAGGAATAAATATTTTTCTTAGAGAATGTGTTTCGAACCAGAAAAAATATTAAATATTATATTATTAGTGAAGAATTTAGTACAACTTCTTCTTCTAAAAATAATCTGCATTAATTTATTGTTAAAAACAAGGATAGAAGTGGCAAAAATTTTTCCAAAAAAATCCTTTAAGCAAAGAACCCAATCTATAAATACCCTTCTAACAGACTTTATGTGTTGAAAAGCGTCATGTGTGAGAAAAGGATACACTTGCGTAAGAGTGTTCAACGGGCCATTCTCTTTAGAAAGTGTGGTTGGTGCATATTTTGCAATCAGAAACTGAAACTGAAGGTGAAGGAAACCGAAAGTTACTATCCGGCTGAGAGAGGCTGGGGGTGTAGATGAAACTTCTGCCAGGACATTTTTTAATCCTCGTCCAAAGAAACTCCGGCAGTATTATCCCTGCCATCATACTTGCGAGGGAGAAATAGATAGGAAGAAGTCGCTGGAGTCGAGGGCAGACAGCTAATTTCGGGATAGGACCAGGCCATAGTAGTTAACCTATTGCACAGAAACGCAAGCTACGATGGTAACGCGGCAATAGAAGCTTTGAATACAATAACAGTGCGCTAGAGGCTGTTAAAGGCAAGCCTAATCTCACTATCAGCGGCACTTTTTACATAACCCAGGTTTAGGTACTAGCATGATCAAAGGCAATCAGCTTTGATTGGTTGGTAAGGAAAAGGCCTCAGGATTGCAGTCCTTAGATACAGAACTGCTTGAGGGTATTTGTAAAATCTAATAACTTATAGTTCGTTAATTACGTTAACAACTGATCGACAAATCGAGTATAATAATATTTATTAATTTACTAACCCTTCCACTCTTCTATATTCCTACTTCTTTACAAAGTGTATGATTCATCAGGATTTAAAGAGCCTGGCTTCATACTGGGCAATGGCATGTGGTTGGGCAGTCGCGACACTTGTAATGCTGTTAAAACACCCGTTAATCTCAAACTATC